AACTCTGTATATGGGTCGCCAGCTCTACCGACTGAGCTAACCGGGCACCCCACATTTAAATGGTTTTAACAAATAAACACATCCTAGTGGGAAGAGATAATTTCACTTAAATCTTAAAAAATATACATTTTGAAGAAAGATATACTGTATTATACAGTAATTTAGGAGGATTTGTACTATTAGTGGTGCCACTCTAAGCCGTACCTGGAAGCTTCTTGGCCCAGGCGATCATGTGGACCAGCTCCTTATCGGCCATGCTGGTGAGCAGGGTCATCATGGTGACCTCAGTGTAAGGTCGGCTCAGTTTCTGACGGGAGCACAGCATTGGGGGCTCAGCAGCCTGGAGCAGGAGGAGCACCTGGGGAAGCACAGATCAACACACTGTCACTCAATTTAACCAGAAAAATACAAGCTGTTGTGCTCCAAACTGAAACCCCAAAGTCTTCCTGGCCACCAATTTGCACCACAAGATATTTCAAAAACAAATCATTAATTTTCTCCACATGAACAAGCACCTGCTCAGGAGGCATGCCGATCATAGATGATTTTCCTCCTCCACCAATAGCACTGCTGCTGCTGCTGCTGCTGCTGTGTTTCCTCCAGTCCTGAGGGGGCACTGTTCTGTGCTCCAGGTCCTTAGAGGCCTTTTCTTTCTCACTGGCGCCGGTCCGTCGTTTGTCACGTCGCAAAACACGACCGCGGTCCTTGCGCACACCTTAAGCACACAGCAGGGGTTTAATGGAAGATAACACGCAGTTACACAGAGAAAAGCCACACACACACACACACACACACACACACACTCATCAGGCCTGTTCTTCACTCACACGTCACTCTTAATTTCCTGTTCTTACCACAAAGTCCAACAGTACAGATTATATGGATGTCTGTGTGATTCAAGAAGTATGAAAACAAAAAAATGTGGGTGTGTGTTAATCAGTAGTTGTACTTCTTAAGAGGAAATCACTTCAAGGTCACGTTAAAGTTAGTCTCGAGCTTATCTGCATCCACCAGCCCTCTCATGTTTGTGCCAGTCCTCTCAGCAAAAAAAGCCATGATGATAAACGGCAATTAGTTTGGAAATCCAATTAAACATTTTAACCAAGAAAGAAAAGAGTGAGAAACAATAATGCAACTGAATGTTGTAATAAACAGCAAATGGCTGTTTGCGGGTGTTTCAACCAACCTCCTTTCATCATGCCCACTTCGTAACACTTCCTAAGACGGCAGGCCTGGCAGCTCTTCCTCCGATTCCTGTCAATAGTACACTGATTGGTTGCTGGGCACATATAGTCATTGTGACCTGAAAAGGAAGAAAATCTATTACTTCAAGCCCCCCACTCCAGCGTTCAGTTTAGACTTATGTTATTTAGTAGCCAGGAACACTCCATTCCCATATTAAATGGATCTGAGATGGAGAAAATTAAAATGTGGCATCACGGCTTTGTCATTGTCATGGAGACCGTTGGTTTCTCTTTGACTAGTCTTCCATTGCAAGACTCATCAATATGCCGTAGGATCACAAACGTCACCAAGCAATCGTCAGCAGATGAAGCGTTTGTCTGCGTGAAGGTTTTACACCACGTGGTATTAATAGATATAGGATGCAAACAGAGAGGAAGAATGGTTCAAACTTTGAATTCTTAAATTCTGTTCTCTTAATTTAAAATCTTTCACTTTTTATCATTTATATTTTCCTATTTTCTCTCCTTTATTGAGCTCCAGTTTGACTACTTCTTTCTCTGTTGAGGTTACAGGCAGTTCACTTCCGTACCACGAGTCTACAAAACCGGCACACTAAACACAAGCATACAAGTTAAATCGCTGTCCATCCAATTTTCATTTCCTCTGATGTACAAGATAAAACCACAATTTTATTCTGTTGACTGACAGAAAAATGCATTTTATGAGGCACAGTGCTCCACTTCTTTCTGCATTTACAATCAGTTATACTGTTAATTGTGTTCCTTCATGTGGTTTTAAAAAACATTAAAGTTTGAGCATTTCTTTGAGTAATTAACTGTAGTTAATGTGGAAGTTTTGGGAAATTCTTGATCATTTTTACAAGAAATATGAACACTAAACTCTGACAAAATAAGAAAAAGACCTTTCACAAACAGGTAACATATGAGGACAGACAGAGTACGTACCCTGGATGCTCCTCTTAAAGAAGGCCTTGCAGCCCTCACAGGACCACACCCCGTAGTGGTACCCCGAGGCATAGTCACTGCACACAGCACAGAAATGCATCTCTTTGGCCATCTCAAACCCACCGGCCCGAGCTCCAGCCCCCGACTCCCCCACACTGTATGAGTCGTCACTGGTGCCACACTGGTCCTCTCTGGAAACCTGCTGCTGACTGGACGGGACGCTGGACCTGCCACAGGAAACAGATTTCAGCTCAGTTTCATTTAAAGTGTTTTCATAAAGATAATACAGATGAGATAATATAAATAGCTTTCTTGCCATACAAAAACAGCTGATCGATTCTAACATTTAGCACACTGACTCCGGTGGCAGACATAAAGGCAGAGGACTATTTTTCCACCTGAGGCAGGAAACAATTTGTACATGTACTTCTGTTGTTCTTACGTATTGTTCCTTTCTCAAGGTCCTTGACAAAGTCCTTAATCTCTGGAATTAGAAACCAGGGCAAAGCTTGATCTTTTCTATAGAGATAGTGACAATGTTTTGTATAAAGCAGGAGATTAAAAAACAATGCGGTTATATAATTATATTTGTGAGGACTTAACTGAATGCCACTGGTATAATATGGGAGTGGAAAATATTAAAACTAGTTGTGTGGCAACATTTTGCCTTATAACCATTCAATACAAAACACCAAGTCAGCAGAGAAAACACAGTAAAATTAGGAAATAAATGAATTATGAACAAGATAAACAACTTCTTCTATGTGTATATCATTCTTTAACTTTGTATTCAAATCATGATAGAGAGAAAGAACCATACTGGAGAAACAAATCTGAAGAGTCTGCACCGCTGTTATCAATTAAATAATCATTACAGCACAAACAAGACTAATCAAACAATCAGATTCAAGCACTGGAGGTGGCATCTCTCCCAAATGGCATATCCTCCCATGAGAAACATTACTACATTTAAAAGTAATGGCCAGAAAAACACACCAACATCACTTAAAAAGCAATCAAAGAGGGGATCCATACATGTTTGTATAGAGTTTACAAAAATAACTTTCTTTTTCCAAGCACACTTTTCTCCACTCTGGAGAGGAAGAATAATTGTGTTCCCTCACCTGTAGACGGGTGTTGAGGTGGTTTCCAGATAGTGGTGGCTGGGTGGGTGTATAAAGGGGCTGAGTTGGGGGCTGGAGGGCACAAACACAAGAGGACTGGTAGACCCACTGCCAAGGGACTGAAGGCTGCCATCTGAGGGTGGTCCGTGGGCATCCAGAGGAGCAGAGTAGTAGCCAGGAGTGGAGTGGCTGTAAAGAGGAGTCGGGGCAGGGGTGGGGGCGGCATAGTCATACGTCCCTTCCAGGAAGTCCACAGTGGCTACCCCTCCAGACCCTCGGCTCTCTTCGGGGTACATGTCACTGAGGGGGGCACGCAGTGCAGGCGAGGAAAGTTGCGGGGAGAGGGTCTCCAGCTCTGTGAAGCCTGCTGGGCTGATCCTGGGTCTGACTACTGGTCCGCAAGGCTGCCTGCTCTGCGCCGGGCTCTGCCTGAGCAACATCACAGCACAACAGCACTGATATGCAACATGATTTAGACCTGCTCTCCCATTTGCTGGGAGGGGGAGTGGAGACGAGTGCTGCTCTCCTTCTCTCTACACTCTTTCCTCACTGTCTCTCTTGCCTTTTTTTTCTAATAAAGCCTGTCAGGCAACTTGAAGGGTCCACTATTATTGCAGTCCCTCTGCCCTATCTGCCTTGAGCTTCTGCCCCCACAAAGCTCTAAAAGAAAAAAAGAAAAGAGCCTTTGCTTCTTTTCCTCTAATACATTTCATCATCTACTGTGTAGGAGGAAGGGAAGCCTGGTGGGAAAGAGAAAGAGGATGGACAGATAAGCAGTGATTCCCAAATAACTTACCTGTCTCTCACACCACCATGAAATGTTCTCTTCCCTTTTCACCATTTTCTTACATTGAAAATCTTGCTGCTAATATCCAGATCAAAAAACAAAAAACAACTCTCAACTAGCAGCAAGACGTTTCATTTAGCTGAGACTCTGCACACTACCAGTGTGACGTATGACCGGTCTATTTGTAGCCAGATTATTGAATACACCTGAGACTCTCCAGTAAATTAAATTACTGTGAAAATGAGAAACATTAGGACAATGGTTTTAAACAACGGCAAAATCTACCGGGATACACAACTCACCTCTTACACATGAATCATCCTCGTGTCTGCTGTGCGACAGTTTGAGTTTTCTGCCTGTCTCTCTCTCTGCTTGCCTCTCTCGTCTCATTTCTCAGGCATCTAGCCGGGCTCATTGGACACAATGGGAACAGTGGAAAAGGTTAAAAAAAAGAAAAGGATAAACAAATTAAAGATGCAGACAAATCGATAACCACGGCGTGTTTAAGTGCCAGGTCACCATAACACAGCAAACAGAGCAGGGGGTCAAATCTCGTTCCAACAGCCAGTAATTACACAATCAATCCCAAATGAGGGGATGGATCGTTATTTTAATCATGACCTAAATTTTTACTTTTGATAAACATCACAAAGAAATGCACAATTTAAAAAAATCCTACTTTTTTTTATGACATTGAACTGAAAGGGAGGATGTATATTACACATAACGCAATGGATGAGTTAATCATTACTTTATCAAGGTAAGTCAGGGAAGAAATAGAACACTATATATAAACAAATCAAAAGCAAAGGGGGCAGAGTATTTATGAAAATAAAGATTTAGGAGAATCAATGTTTGTGTTTTTGCCACAAAAGTTCCACGATTGTAATTGTGGATGAGGATGGATCCTTTTTGTCCTTGCATGTCTTTGGGAAAGACGCTGAGTGTCAAAAAAAACAAAAAAAAACAACTCCTAACTCCTCAACATTGGGATGATTTCCAAACATTTGTTACAACAGGAATCCAATGTAGAAATAATTAATTAGTGCACGATTCAGCAAAGAGGTCACAATCCAATGAATTTCAGATCCAGTGATGAAATCCAAATAATTTGGGGCTTAAATCAAAATATATGTATTTCCGTGTGATACTATCAGCTGACAGAACAAGTAAAATAATGCAAGAAATGTATAAAGATAATCACAAGCAAGTATACTTT